GCGCGAAATATGAACTAAGCTGGCAGACAGCATGGGCTGTCTGTGCAGACAGTACAGGCTGTCTACACGAAGAACTACAATGGAAATATGCCACACTGTCAGTAGTGTTACTGTGTACTTGTGTAGTATACTTAGATAATCCCAGCTACTTTATAGATAGGCTCCCTTCTAGCTGTGACGGGTAGGCACACTGTCAGGCTTTCATAGGCTGTACTGGTTTAATAACCTTCCTGGGTTAATAATCCCAAGAATGTCTTCAAATCTTCCCCTTCGGATGAACCCCAGGGAGGTAGGACCTCCACAGGAGAGGCGGAGGTGGAAATTGTGCGCCCGCGGTAATCCTTTAGACAAGATCTGCTTATCTCTTGCCTCTGTAATTACCTTCAGCCCTCATGACCTCAATTATTTACTTGCGGTGTGTGTGTGTGAGAGTCACAGGTGGAGAGGAAAGAGTAAAGAGTGTCAGGAAACGTCTCACTTCTTCATGATAACCTTTTGCTTATTGTCACCTAACCTATGCTTGTTTCACCGTGCCCTTATGATAGGGCTGCTGACTCTGTCATAGGACTGTAAACGGTACATCATCTGTACAGACTTCGACACTCCTTGGAGAGCCGGTGACGGGTCACCATCTAACAAAGACCCAGATCTGGACTTCGTTCCTGGCGAACATATGATCATCACAGCCTGCACATGTGAGAAACTTATGACGACGTTTCGGTCAGTCTTGAACCATTAACAAGTCACAACCCAATCACTGTATTGTGCCCTTTTATTCGTTGTGATCATCATCGCCTGTTCTTGATCTCACAGTTTGATTATATGTGACCAGTATTTTTATGAGCCTAACCTCATGAGGCTCGATATCCTTATATAAGACTCCTATGAGAGCACCACGCCTCAGATTCTCTTTTGGGGTCACTTATTTTTTTTCGCTTGGGTGTATATCTCTCAGTAGTAGTACCAGTTCCTAGTAACCAGTTACCAGTAACCAGTGTACCAGTAGATGACTCACTACCAACCGTCTGTGTGAATCATTGACTGTATTCATATTGCTGCTGACCATAGCAGGATTTCAAACATCCCTCACCCGTAGGCACTCATGGGTCAGTCAGGCTAGGGAGCAGAGAGAGGCAGGACGGCTGTTGGCGCTTTCCCACACTTTCCGTTATATTATACGTACTACCAGCCTACGTGAGTATTCTTACCCTATCCACGTTTTCGAAAACCCACATGACATATCTACTACGTTTACCCTTCGAGAAGAAGTGAGACCTTGATGCTGATGAAGGGCCCTTGATATGTTTCACATCCTTGGAGTATTTCTAACATAGGAGACTCGAGCCTCCGATATCCTTCCACTTGTTGACGCTCTTCACCCAGCAGTAAAGAGATGCATGGGTGTTAGTCTCCTTATACCTGCTTACCCTGTTCACCCAGCAGTAAAGAGATGCATGGGTGTTAGTCTAACTTATACCTGCTTACCCTGTTCACCCAGCAGTAAAGAGATGAATGGGTGTTAGTCTCCTTATACCTGCTTACCCTATTCACCCAGCAGTAAAGAGATGAATGGGTGTTAGTCTCCTTATACCTGCTTACCCTGTTCACCCAGCAGTAAAGAGATGAATGGGTGTTAGTCTCCTTATACCTGCTTACCCTGTTCACCCAGCAGTAAAGAGATGAATGGGTGTTAGTCTCCTTATACCTGCTTGCCCTGTTCACCCAGCAGTAAAGAGATGAATGGGTGTTAATCTCCTTATACCTGCTTACCCTGTTCACCCAGCAGTAAAGAGATGAATGGGTGTTAGTCTCCTTATACCTGCTTACCCTGTTCACCCAGCAGTAAAGAGATGAATGGGTGTTAGTCTCCTTATACCTGCTTGCCCTGTTCACCCAGCAGTAAAGAGATGCATGGGTGTTAGTCTCCTTATACCTGCTTGCCCTGTTCACCCAGCAGTAAAGAGATGCATGGGTGTTAGTCTCCTTATACCTGCTTACCCTGTTCACCCAGCAATAAAGAGATGAATGGGTGTTAGTCTCCTTATACCTGCTTACCCTATTCACCCAGCAGTAAAGAGATGCATGGTTGTTAGTCTCCTTATTCTTGCTGAACCTGTTCACTTAGCAGTAAACAGATTCATGGGTGTTAGTCGACTATTGGGGGTCGCATCCTGGGAAACATTACCTAAGGACCCAAACAGAAAAAGGCTACACTGATTGGTTCTAGGGTTTTTCTTGGTTAATAAGTCGAAGAAAATCTTTTCTTTTTCTTCGTGTGCATTTGACGGTGGAGGTATACAGTTCATCAAGGGAGGTCCCGTACACTAACACTGGCCCTGGTCGTGCGGTGGAAAAACATCAGATGGGAGCTTTTATTGACAACGTTTTGCCCACACAGTGGCCTTTATCAAGTCACACAGACCTGACCGTTGTGGTCTTGACGTCTAATCCATCTTAATCCAGAGATTCTTGAGCTCCCAAGAGGGCATCACTCTTAGACAGCTAATCTAAAGCTTCTTAGGGAAATACTGTAGCTCATTCAACAGTGTTAAGGCTAACAAAGCTCACTTGATTAGTGATCCTTCAGGGATAATGACGCATTTTTCCTTAAAACTAAGATGATTTTTGAGAATTTTGGTTATTTATGTGTGAGAACCTTAAAAATAAGAAATTTTTTAAAATTTCCGTACTTATTTCCTCTACTTCTTCTTTTAATAATAATAATAATAATAACAATAATAATAACAATAGTAATAACAATAATAACAATAGTAATAACAATAATAATAATAATAATAATAATAATAATAATAATAATAATAATAATAATAGTAATAATAATAATAATAATGGCTTTATTCTGATGGTGCCAGATCCCTGAATGTGTCTGTAATAATATTGTCAGATTCATGTGTCTGTGGTAATGGTAGCAGACAAATGACTGTGTCTGTGCTGATCCTAACATATCATGAATGACGTTCTTCGTACATACTTAATACTCTACTGGTTCTTATCCAAAACAAAATATTTAATGAAAATATTCGTTATTTTTTTTTTGTATTTTTTTTCAGTGGTGATTTCTGTTCCGCCCTCCCCTCAAAAAAAAAAAAAATATGAAAATGGTGTAAATATGGTTCAGCAGAAGACAAAAAAAAATCGTTTGGTAATAAAGGTAGAATTACGACAAAATGTGTCTTTTTACCTAACAAAAATCGCTTGATAGGAAAAATTAATAAATTATGGCCAGGTAGAAGATAAATATTGGATTACTTAGTGGAAGGTAAACACCAGGTCCTCCCATGCTAATAGCCAGACCTGAGAGAAGCCATTACCTGGAATCTGTCTGGGGAGGATTCAGAGGTGTCTGATCTTCCTTTGTTTTGAAAGTAGTTAGGTAAGATTTGTCAGGAAATAGGACAAATGTTTCCTGACGCAGGTCTCAGTCATATGTCCCGCAGATGGAGTTTTTGGTCATCTGACCGAAGCCTTCCACTGGCTTATCCCTCCACCCCTTTACAAATTATAGTTATGATTATAAGTGGTGTGAAGAGGTTTAGATGTCACATAATGTGCGTTTTTTGTTATTGGATTGAGGAGTAAGTCAGGGGAAGACTTAATGCAGGTCATCATACGACTAACACTTGCGCCAGGAGAAATTTTCCCGTTTTTCCTGTTTTTGTTTTTTCCTGACAAACAAAATACCACCAGCACCATTCCCTCTCCCTCTCCTCTCCGTCTCACTTTCTCTCGTCCCTTCCCTGATCCATTAGGCTATTAAGATCACTATATTTATAGCAATAGTGAAGAGAGATAATAATAGAGACACACAAACAAAATAAGAGAAACATCAGTTACAAAAATTATTATATACTTTATTTAGTATTGTCTTCTAAAACACTTAAATATTCTGTCATGCTTTCATCTCCTCTTTCATTTCCCGATGTAGTTTTTGACACACACACACACAACTGGCTCCTTGAATTTAACCCCGCCAAATGCAAAATCAGTCTCAGAGCTAAGGGGATTGACCTATGAAGAAAGGTTAAGGGAAATCGGCCTGACGACATTGGAGGGCAGTAGAGTCAGGGGAGACATGATAACGACATATAAAATACCGCGAGGAATTGACAAGGTGGACAAAGACAGGATGTTCCAGAGATGGGACACAGAAACAAGGGGTCACAATTGGAAGTTGAAGACTCCTATGAGCCAAAGGGATGTTAGGGAGTATTTCTTCAGTCATAGAGTTGTCAGGAAATGGAATAGCCTAGAAAGTGACGTAGTGGAGGTGGGAACCATACATTGTTTTAAGACGAGGTTTGATAAAGCTCATGGAGCAGGGAGAGAGATGACCTAGTAGCAAACAGTGAAGGCTCGGGGCCAAGAGCTATGAATCGGCCCCTGAAACCACAAATAGGTGAGTACACACACACACACACGGCTCAATGCGGCTGTTCAAAGGGGTAATGTCTGCTGTATTTTGGGCACACGCCCCAGCTCTGAGGAGCTGGACGAGATTTTCGCCTTATAATCGGTGATACACACGTAACAACACGTACCGTATATGCCACCTTTATATCAACAATGTATCTCTTAAATCTTCTGAACCATATAATATATATATATATATAAATATATATATATATATATATATATATATATATATATATATATATATATATATATATATATATATATATATAATATATATATATATACATATATATATATATATATATATATATATATATATATATATATATATATATATATATATATATATATATATAATATATATATATATATATATATATATATATATATTACATATAGGTGGTGTTGGGGGCGGGAAGATGGAAATACCTGTAAAAGGCTGCAGGAAAGCGGTTAGCCTCTGGGTGCATTTTGCAATCCTGGCGGGGATGTTGCGGTGGGGCGAGTCATCATCGCCTCGTGATGTTACTATTAATTTGCTTGTCTTGTTTACAGGTGAGAGACAAACAGAATGAAGCGAGACGTCAACCTTTGTATGACGCTGCTCAGTGATTGCTGGGGTGAAGGAGTGCAGGACTGCAGGTATACTTGCAGTATTTTAGATTATGCCAATGGATGGTAGTGGCTAGTTTATTGTGCATCTCATATCTATCCTGTGGATGGTAGCGCAGGAGCATATGGATACACAAATGGCCTAGGAACTAATAATAATATAACATCTTTATTTCTACAAGTACATGTACAAGGTATACAGACCATAGCTGACATCAATGACAGTAGTACTATATAGAAAGTCCCTTGTTATGCTGAGCATTTCCCGCAAATTAGGTTTTGTCCCAGGATGCGACCCACACCAGTCCACTAACACCCAGGTACCTATTTTATACTGATGGGCGAACAGGGACAGCAGGTGTCTTATGGAAACACCTTAATGTTTTCCAGCCGTGACGGGAATTCGAACTAAGGACCTCAGTGTGTGAGCCGAGTGCGCTAGCGATCGAACTACGGGACACCCTTATTGTCCAAGAAGATTAACAGCAGTACATCTGGATATATGTCTACAGTTTGTTTAATTTGTTGCAAACAAATCTAGATTATAAGCTTAAAATGTCTGGTGTCTTATTTACATTAATAAAATACCATGATATAACGCATCGGACCTGCCTTGTATGGGCCAGTAGGCCTTCTGCAGTGTTCCTCCATTCTTATGTTCTTATGTTTTTAAAAGTGGAGGTTGTAGCTTCTGCCAAGAATGGTCTCCATTTTCTGCGTTAACAAGTTGTCCTAACCGTTTATTTTCTTTTATTTTTCGTTTAATTACCAACTCCTTATCACTTACTGTGGTTCTTGATGTCTTCTGCAGCCACACTAGTGTCGCTGGTAGCAGTGTCTGTCTGGACTGTGTACTCATATAATTTTATTCTTCTAGAGATGCTGGTCTTGCAGGGCTCGTTCATACAGGCTCTAGAAATTGTGTAGGGTTGTGTTGGTATGTGTTTGTATGTTAGTTTATTTATTTATTTATTTTTTATTTGGACTTGATACATAGTTGTTCAAGGAAATATAGTGGTAGGGTGTACATGCCAAAAGCCCCTTGTATGCCTATTTGTGGTTGCAGGAGTCGATTCATAGCTCCTGGCCCCGCTTTTTCGCTGATCGCTACTACTTCCACGAGCCTTATCATACCTTGTCTTAAAACTATGTATGGATCCTGCCTCCACTACTTCACTCTCCGGACTGTTCCACTTCCTGAGAACTCTATGACTGAAAAAATGCTTCTTAACATCCATGTGACTCATCTGAGCTTTCAACTTCCAGTTGTGACCCCTTGTTTCTGTGTCCCGTCTCTGGAACATTCTGTGGTTGCAGGGATCGATTCACAACATAGTGTGTGTATGTGTGCTTGTGTTTGTGCGTTTGTGTACTCACCTAATTGTACTCACCAAATTGTGGTTGCAGGGGTCGAGACTCAGCTCCTGGCCCCGCCTCTTCACTGATCGCTACTAGGTCCTCTCTCTCTCTCTCTGCTTCCTGAGCTTTATCATACCTCTTCTTAAAACTATGTATGGTTCCTGCCTCCACTACTTCACTTGCTAGGCTATTCCACTTCCTGACGACTCTATGACTGAAGAAATGCTTCCTAACGCCCCTGTGACTCGTCTGAGTCTTCAGCTTCCAGTTGTGACCCCTTGTTCCTGTGTCCCCTCTCTGGAACATCCTATCTCTGTCCACCTTATCTATTCCCCGCAGTATCTTGTATGTCGTTATCATGTCTCCCCTGACCCTTCTGTCCTCCAGTGTCGTCAGTCCGATTTCCCTCAACCTTTCCTCGTACGACATTCCCCTGAGCTCTGGGACTAGCCTTGTTGCAAACCTTTCTACTTTCTCTAACTTCTTGACGTGCTTGACCAGGTGTGGGTTCCAGACTGGTGCTGCATACTCCAGTATGGGCCTAACATACACAGTGTACAGTGTCTTGAACGATTCCTTATTTAGGTATCGGAACGCTGTTCTCAGGTTTGCCAGGCGCCCGTATGCTGCAGCAGTTATTTGGTTGATGTGTGCCTCCGGTGACGTGCTCGGTGTTATGGTCACCCCGAGGTCTTTCTCCCTGAGTGAGGTCTGTAGTCTTTGTCCACCTAGCCTATACTCTGCGGCCTTCTTTGCCCCTCCCCAATCTTCATGACTTTGCATTTGACAGGATTGAATTCGAGAAGCCACTTTCTGGACCACATGTCCAGCCTGTCCAGGTCTCTTTGCAGTCCTGCCTCATCCTCATCCGATTTAATTCTTCTCATCAACTTCACATCATCTGCGAATAGGGACACTTCAGAGTCTATTCCTTCCATCATGTCGTTCGCATATATCAAAAATAGCACTGGCCCTAGAACTGACCCCTGTGGGACCCCGCTCGTCACAGGCGCCCACTGTGATACCTCTTCACGTACCATGACTCGTTGCTGCCTCCCTGTCAGGTATTCCCTGATCCACTGCAGTGCCCTCCCTGTTACATGCGCCTGATCCTCCAGCTTCTGCACTAATCTCTTGTGGGGAACTGTGTCAAAGGCCTTCCTGCAGTCTAGGAAAACGCAATCAATCCACCCCTCTCTCTCGTGTCTTACTTCTGTTACCTTGTCATAAAACTCCAGGAGGTTTGTGATACAAGATTTGCCTTCCATGAACCCATGCTGGTTTTCATTTATAATCTTGTTCCGTTCCAGGTGTTCGACCACTCTCCTCCTGATAATCTTCTCCATGACTTTGCACACAATACATGTCAGAGACACAGGTCTGTAGTTTAGTGCCTCGTTTCTGTTTCCTTTCTTAAATATGGGGACTACATTTGCTGTCTTCCATTTCTCAGGTAGTTGCCCAGTTTCAAGGGATGTGTTGAAGATTGTGGTTAGAGGCACACACAGCATCTCTGCTCCTTCTCTAAGGACCCATGGGGAGATGTTGTCCGGTCCCATCGCCTTTGAGGTATCAAGGTCCATTAGCAACTTCTTCACCTCCTCCTCGGTTGTTCGTATGTCATCCAACACTTGGTGGTATATACCCTCTTGATGTTCCGTTCTGTACTGACTTCCCACAGCCCTTCCTGTCTCTACTGTAAAAACTTCCTTAAATCTCCTGTTTAGCTCCTCACATACCTCCTGGTCATTTCTTGTGAGTTCTCCCTCTTCTGTTCTTAATCTGATCACCTGGTCTTTGACTGTTGTCTTCCTCCTGATGTGGCTATACAACAGTTTCGGGTCAGTCTTGATTTTCGATGCTATGTCATTTTCATACTGTCGCTGGGCCTCCCTCCTTACCTGTGCGTACTCGTTCCTGGCTCTGCGACTGATCTCCCTATTTTCGTGTGTTCTCTGCCTTCTGTACTTTTTCCATTCTCTATTGCACTTTGTTTTTGCCTCCTTACACCGTCGGGTAAACCAGGGGCTTGTTCTGGTCTTCCCGTTGTTTCTGTTGCCTTGGAATAAACCTTTCCACTGCCTCCTTGCATTTTGTTGTTACATATTCCATCATTTCATTTACTGGCTTTCCTGCCAGTTCTCTGTTCCATGGGACCTCCTGCAGGAAGTTCCTCAACCCTATGTAGTCCCCTCTTTTATAGTCAGGCTTTTGCCATTCAACTCCTGTTACTCTCTCCACTTGCAGCTCTACTATATATTCAAAGCACAGAACCACGTGGTCGCTAGCTCCTAGGGGACTCTCATACATGATGTCCTCAATGTTTGAACTGCCGAGGGTGAACACAAGGTCCAATCTTGCTGGTTCATCCTCCCCTCTCACTCTGGTAGTGTCCTTAACATGTTGGTGCATGAGGTTTTCCAGCACCACGTCCATCATCTTGGCTCTCCATGTTTCGGGACCCCTATGTGGCTCCAGGTTTTCCCAGTCAATCTCCCTGTGGCTGAAATCCCCCATAACGAACAACTTTGCTCTGCTGGAGTGAGCTCTTCTTGCCACCTCAGCAAGTGTGTCCACCATTGTTCTGTTGCTCTCTTCATATTCCTCTCTTGGCCTCCTGCAGTTCTGTGGTGGATTATACATCACTGCAATGACCACCTTGTGTTCCCCAGACTGAAGTGTACCTACTATGTAATCTCTTTCTTCCATCTCATCTATGCCTTCCATTTTCTCGAATTTCCATCTGTTTTTTACTAGCAGAGCAACCCCACCTCCCCCTCTGCCCCTTCTATCTTTCCTCATGATCTGGTATCCTGGTGGGAAGATTGCATCTGTTATTGTCCCCGTGAGTTTTGTCTCTGTAACTGCTATGATGTCTGGGGACTTCTCATTGATTCTTTCTTGCCATTCCTCATGTTTATTCGTTAATCCATCTGCATTTGTGTACCAAACCTTCAACTTCTGTTCTAATACTGTAACTGTGGTGCGGGGGGTGGGAACAGAGGGATCGGTGTGTGATGGTTGGTTTGGATTATTTCAGTTGCCTTGGGGGTGTCGTGGCTGGGTCCTTCTGCAGGTGTTTTCTGGGGGTGTGCTTGTCCTTCCACTTGTTCCTGGGTTATTCTGCTCTCCTTTTTCATTACCTCCCATATCCCCTTTTCGTTTCTGAACTCTCTCTTTCATCGTCCTCCTTTCCTCCTGTGTTCTGTGTCGATCGAGGTACACACTCATGAACTCCTGCCTGCCTCTCAGCCGTGCTTTCTCCTGCAGGATCATGGTTCGGGTTGATTCTGCCTTGAAAATTACTTTGAGAGGCCGATTCCTTTTCTCTGTGAACCACCCGATTCCCCCGAAAATTTGCCACCTGGGTCATTTCCCCCTCGCCTATCACCTTCATGATACCTTCAATCGCTTTTTTCTCCTCCTGCTTTCTTTCCTCATAAGTTTCCCCTTTAGCTTCGTCTAGCCCATAGACAAACACTGATCTCTTCCTTTCCACCTCCCACTGTGACTCCCATTGCATCCTCTGATGTGTTTTAGTTCCTTCCCGTGGAGTGTTCCTTCCTTCAGTCCCTTCCCTAGCTATGGCCCCTATCCTCCTTGGTTTCTCCTTCCTGCTCACCTGTTCCTGGCCCCCACAGGTGTCTGGTAAGGTCCCTACACATGTCCTA